TGTCTGCCCGCGGAGTCGGGTTTGGCTTCGGCGTCTGTTGGTTCCTGCGGAGACTCCCCTTCCGCCTCTTACGTTCATTGGGTTCCTCCGGGGATCTTGTGTTGGTGCTGCGTCACCTGCTTCCTATTTGGGGTTTTCGGGGTTCCATGCCTTGGCACCTCCCCGAGCCTTCGCTCGATGTGTTCACGGATGGGTCGTCTCTCGGCTGGGGCTTTGTGACCAGTGCTCACCAGGTCGGCCGAGGTTGATGGAGTCTGTCTGTCCGTCGGGCTCACAGTATGGTTCGGGTGTTCATGGCTGTCTGGTTTGCGCTTCGGAGGGTTTGGGTCACTAGGTACTCTACCATTCAGCTCTGCTTAGACTGTTCTCTGGTGGTTCTTGCCGGAACCACAGGGGTTTGGCTAACCGTGTGGTTCATGTCCGGGGTGTGTCCTGCGTCCTGGCGGACAGCTGTCTCGGTTCATTCCTCTTCGTGGGTTGGCCAGTCGTCGCCGATTCGTTATGTTGGCTCTGTCGGGCATATGGACTCCTGGCCATGGATGTCTTCGGGTCAGCGTGGTCTAGGCGTCGCCCATTTTGTAGCACCCTTCCCACCTGCGAGGACTTCACGGTGGATGCTTTCGGCAGGACTGGTCGAGGTGGGGGGTACCTGTTCCTCTCCTCCCGGTCCAGCTGTTGCTTCGGATTCTGGCTCGGTTGCAGCCCATTCCCACAAGAACAGTCCTTATGGTTCCATGTTGGCCGGCCCGGCCTTCTTTTCAGACGCTTCTTGATAGGTGTCCGTACCCGGGGCGTTTTTCCTGAGGCTTCGCCTCTTTCAGCAAGCCGCATCGGTCCTGTCCCTGACTGGTTCGGCCTTCTCCTTGGCTCTTCGCGTCTGGTATTTTGACGCGGGTATCACCATCTCTATGGTGTTCAGGTGGCTTTGTTGACGGTGTCCCACCTGCGAGCTTCGTCTTGGAGACAGTACAGTATGACGTTTCTTACGTTTTCTCGTGTTTTGTTTCCCCTCCGTCCTGCTCATGCGTCGCCTGAGCCATCCTGGTCCTTGTTCAGGGTGCCTTCTTATCTTCCCCTCAGTTTGTGGTAGCCCCTTCGGTTCAGTTTCCTGCTCTTTGGTATTGGTGGTAGCTTTATACGTGTGCAGCCTTTCTCTGTCCTGGCGACGGTAGAGACGGCTGCTTTCCGGAGGGGTTCTTGGGGTCTTGGTACTTGATTGGTTTGGCCGGGGGGTGCGTCCTGTGTTGTCCGGTTGTGCTTTTTGCTGTTGCCGGCGTACCGTGTCTGGGGATGCGCTGTGGTTGATCCGATTCCTTCGTTCCCTGTTTTCAGGGCTCGGGTCTCCCAGGTCGTCCGCAGAGTTTTCCTTCTTCCAGCCTGCGGTCTGTCTTTGCGCCCGTGCTGTTCAGACGTTTGCAGCTTTTGCTGCTGTGTTGGTGACGTCTCGGGCGCAGGGATTTGTGGGTCGCACAAGTTTTTGGCCGCCCATCCATATGTGCGTCTGTTCTTGGGCGTTCTTGTTGCCTTGGGTCGCAGGTTTGCGACCGGTTGTCTTGGCTCGCAGGTTTGCGACCGGTTGTCTTGGCTTTGCGTTGCAGAGTTTGTGGCAGCCGCCTCCCGGGTTAGCCCTTTCTTTTCCTTCTCTTTGGGTATGAAGCTCCAGGGAGCCGTAGGGGCTCCCCACAGAAAACCAGCATTGAATGTAATGAAATGCCATTTTCTGGGTGAGCCCCGGAGGCTCCCTGGAAACCCTCCCTCCCACCGGTCGGCGGTTTTTTCGCGTTGGTTGAAGCTTAGCTTCCGAACTGGAGCTTGGCAGCCAGCGCGGTAGGTCCGGGGCGGGGAGGGCTGCACGGACGATCGGCGCGGCAGTAAAGTGTGATGTTTGCTTGTTTGCTAGTTTCCTTGGGATTGTAGGAAGTTTTCTACCTCTCTGTTCGGTTTTTGTTGTAGTTTCTTACCATGTGGGGTTTGTTTTGTTACGCCTACCTTTCTGGGTGCCTAACCCCGGTCGATGGCAGATAAGGAAAACCCCCAACCATATGGGGTTTTCCAGGGCCATTGCTCCCTGAAACCTCTCTGAAGGGGCCAGGTTCTGGCGCTGGTCCCTGGTAGGTCTGAACTCCTTAGCTAATGTCCCGGTCTAACATAACATACATTAGCCCGATAAGCTCCAGAGAGCCTCTGGGGCTCACCCAGAAAATGGCGTTTCATTACATTCAACGCTGGTTTTTTGTCTATATCAGATATGAGAATAAGGAACAGTAGCGGCGCAAGGACTGTACCTTGAGGTACAGAGCTTTTAACATCGCTTGGACTCGATTTTATCTGATTGACTGTTACTTTTTGTGTTCTGTTCGACAGGAAATTGAGTATCCAGTGTCCTACTTTTCCAGTTGTTCCCATTGACCTCATTTTGTGAGCTATCACCCCCTTGTCACATGTGTCGAACACCTTTGCAAAGTCTGTGTATACAACATCTGCATTTTGCTTTTCTTCTAGGGCTTCTGTGATTTTGTCATCGTGGTTGAGTAACTGTGACAGACAGGATCTTCCCGCTCTAAATCCATATTTTCCTGGATTGTGCAATTCATTGTTTTCCATAAAACTAGAAATTTGATTCCTAATCGCTCTTTCAAACACTTTTATTATGTGTGATGTTAGTGCAACTGGCCTATAATTTTTTGCCAAGGCTTTACTCCCCCCCTTGTGCAACAGAGCTATATCAGCAGATTTAAGTGCTGCTGGTATCTCCCCTGTATCCAGGCTCTTTCTCCATATTATGCTCAGTGCTCTCGCTACTGGTACTTTACATTTCTTTATCAATATTGAATTCCATGAGTCAGGCCAAGGAGCTGAGTGCATAGGCATATTGTCAATTTCTCTTTTAAAGTTTTCCGAGTTTGTGGTAATATCCGTTATATTATCTGCAGCTTGAATGTCATTCATAAAGAAGCTGTCTGGGTCATCAACTTTCATGTTGTTTATTGGTGTGCTAAACATAGCTTCATACTGACTTCTTAGAATTTCACTAATCTCTTTGTTGTCCTCTGCGTTCGTACCTTCATTTGTAATTATCGGTCCAATACTGGTCGAGGTTTTTTTATTTTGATTTTGCGTATGTGAAAAAATATTTTGAATTTTCCTTATCTCTTGTATAGCTTTCTGTTCAATTCCATTTCCTCAGACTCATACGATCGCTTCAACGTTTGTTCTATTTCTTCGATCTCCCTGCTTAGGCTTATTTTCCTTGCTTGTGATAGTTGTGTCTGCCGAAGCATTTCCGTTATTTTTTTCTTCTCCTGTAGTCGTCTGCATTCGCTTTCTAGAGTGATCCTCTTTCTGCCCCTCCTCACAGGCACGTGCTTCATGCAGACCTTGTAAGCTTCAGCTGTCAGTTGAGCTATTCCCTGTAATTACCTAAGTGTAATTACCTAAGTGTAGTTACAGGATGAGAGCTACGCTCGTGGTGTCCCGTCTTCCCAGCACTCTTTGTCATATAACGCTTTGAAACTACTGACGGTCTTGGCCTCCACCACCTTCTCACTTAACTTGTTCCAACCGTCTACCACTCTATTTGCGAAGGTGAATTTTCTTATATTTCTTCGGCATCTGTGTTTAGCTAGTTTAAATCTATGACCTCTTGTTCTTGAAATTCCAGGTCTCAGGAAGTCTTCCCTGTCGATTTTATCAATTCCTGTAACTATTTTGTATGTAGTGATCATATCACGTCTTTTTCTTCTGTCTTCTAGTTTTGGCATATTTAATGCTTCTAACCTCTCCTCGTAGCTCTTGCCCTTCAGTTCTGGGAGCCACTTAGTAGCATGTCTTTGCACCTTTTCCAGTTTGTTGATGTGCTTCTTAAGATATGGGCACCACACAACAGCTGCATATTCTAGCTTTGGCCTAACAAAAGTCATGAACCTGTGTGTGAGTTTTGTCGCTTAAGACCGTCTCCCATTGAATGGTTGCAAGGTCTACATTTATTTTTTCCCAGTCAATCCTCTTATTGTTGAAATTTAATTGATTGAATACCACTTCTCGCTTGTTGGGTCTCTTAGACCTACTACCGTTATTTATGCTAGTTCGCACTTCAATGAGCTTATGGTCTGAGTATGAAGTATCTGAGATTGTGATGTCTCTGATTAGTTCATCATTGTTTGTGAATAACAAGTCTAGTGTGTTTTCGTTCCTAGCTGGTTCTGTAATCTGTTGATTGAGCGAGAATTTGTCACAGAATCTCAAAAGTTCTCCGACCTGTGGTTGGTTATTTCCCGGGTCATTCCCTGCTTTGATATTTGTGTTTGCCATTCTTCATCTTAGACTCGGTAAATTGAAATCTCCAAGGAAGATAATATCTGGAGCTGGGTTTGCTAGGTTGGCAAGTATGTTCTCTATTTTGTGCATCTGCTCTGTGAATTCCTCAACCGTTGTATCTGGCGGCTGTGGTGATGTCATGCTTGTTTTCTGATTGGAGAGTTCTGCTTGCTCGTTCGGATTTCGGTTTGCAATGTTTAACCAGCTGTAGTTTGTTTTAGGATTCCTACCTCTCTGGGTGCCTGACCTGATAGATGGCAGACATAGACTGCTTCCAACTACATGGGGGTGTCTATAGGCCATTGCTCCTCGTGCCTCTCTGAGGAGGCCAGGTTCTGGCTCGTGGTCCCCAGTAGGCTTAAAACTTCATTGATTGACTGTTCTCACGGTCTAATATAAACACATCAGCCCGGTATAGCTCCAGGGAGCCTGCGGGTGTCGCCAAGAAAATTGCATTTCATTACATTCAATGCTGTCGTTTTTCAAGCTTATTTATCTAATGCCATGAACTATGAAGCAGGATGGTGATGCTGGCAGTGGGCACAATAGCCTTAGAAAAAGGTAAAAAATAGTTTGCAAATATTTATTAAACAAAATAGTTTCCGGAGGGCACAGTAGTGTACATGAAGCTTTTTGTAATGTAGGTTGATAATTAATTGGTGTGTCCTATCCAATTTTACTAGGGACCACCACCTGGCGGACAACAAACAAGTATGCAGCCTCCTCAGCAACAGTCAGCCATGACAGGGCCACCACAACAGCAGCAACAGCAGCCTCCCCCTCAACAACAGGTGTCACAGCAACAGCAACAAGTGCCAGTACAACAGCAGCAGTCTATGGTTAATCAGGTAAGTATTTGCCTTTATCAAACGACTCTTTAAAATTATTATTTTGTACAATTCTGGGAAAACTAGGCTACAGGTAGTAGAATATAGTCTGGAGCATGTAGGCTACAGGTAGTAGAATATAGTCTGGAGCATGTAGGCTACAGGTAGTAGAATATAGACTGGGGCATGTAGGCTACAGGTAGCAGACTATAGTCTGGAGCATGTAGGCTACAGGTAGTAGAATATAGTCTGGAGCATGTAGGCTACAGGTAGTAGAATATAGACTGGGGCATGTAGGCTACAGGTAGCAGACTATAGTCTGGAGCATGTAGGCTACAGGTAGTAGAATATAGTCTGGGGCATGTAGGCTACAGGTAGTAGAATATAGTCTGGAGCATGTAGGCTACAGGTAGTAGAATATAGACTGGGGCATGTAGGCTACAGGTAGCAGACTATAGTCTGGAGCATGTAGGCTACAGGTAGTAGAATATAGTCTGGGGCATGTAGGCTACAGGTAGTAGAATATAGTCTGGAGCATGTAGGCTACAGGTAGTAGAATATAGTCTGGGGCATGTAGGCTACAGGTAGCAGACTATAGTCTGGAGCATGTAGGCTACAGGTAGTAGAATATAGTCTGGGGCATGTAGACTACAGGTAGCAGAATATAGTCTGGAGCATGTAGGCTACAGGTAGCAGACTATAGTCTGGAGCATGTAGGCTACAGGTAGCAGAATATAGTCTGGAGCATGTAGGCTACAGGTAGCAGACTATAGTCTGGAGCATGTAGGCTACAGGTAGCAGAATATAGTCTGGAGCATGTAGGCTACAGGTAGCAGAATATAGTCTGGAGCATGTAGGCTACAGGTAGCAGAATATAGTCTGGAGCATGTAGGCTACAAGTAGTAGAATATAGTCTGGGGCATGTAGGCTACAAGTAGTAGAATATAGTCTGGGGCATGTAGGCTACAAGTAGTAGAATATAGTCTGGGGCATGTAGGCTACAGGTAGCAGAATATAGTCTGGAGCATGTAGGCTACAGGTAGCAGACTATAGTCTGGAGCATGTAGGCTACAGGTAGCAGAATATAGTCTGGAGCATGTAGGCTACAGGTAGTAGAATATAGTCTGGGACATGTAGACTACAGGTAGCAGAATATAGTCTGGAGCATGTAGGCTACAAGTAGCAGAATATAGTCTGGGGCAAGTAGGCTACAAGTAGTAGAATATAGTCTGGGGCATGTAGGCTACAGGTAGTAGAATATAGTCTGGGACATGTAGACTACAGGTAGCAGAATATAGTCTGGAGCATGTAGGCTACAAGTAGTAGAATATAGTCTGGGGCATGTAGGCTACAAGTAGTAGAATATAGTCTGGGGCATGTAGGCTACAGGTAGCAGAATATAGTCTGGAGCATGTAGGCTACAGGTAGCAGACTATAGTCTGGAGCATGTAGACTACAGGTAGCAGAATATAGTCTGGAGCATGTAGGCTACAGGTAGCAGAATATAGTCTGGAGCATGTAGGCTACAGGTAGTAGAATATAGTCTGGGACATGTAGACTACAGGTAGCAGAATATAGTCTGGAGCATGTAGGCTACAGGTAGCAGAATATAGTCTGGAGCATGTAGACTACAGGTAGCAGAATATAGTCTGGAGCATGTAGGCTACAGGTAGCAGAATATAGCCTGGAGCATGTAGGCTACAGGTAGTAGAATATAGTCTGGGACATGTAGACTACAGGTAGCAGAATATAGTCTGGAGCATGTAGGCTACAAGTAGTAGAATATAGTCTGGGGCATGTAGGCTACAAGTAGTAGAATATAGTCTGGGGCATGTAGGCTACAGGTAGCAGAATATAGTCTGGAGCATGTAGGCTACAGGTAGCAGACTATAGTCTGGAGCATGTAGGCTACAGGTAGCAGAATATAGTCTGGAGCATGTAGGCTACAGGTAGCAGAATATAGTCTGGAGCATGTTGACTACAGGTAGCAGAATATAGTCTGGAGCATGTAGACTACAGGTAGCAGACTATAGTCTGGAGCATGTAGACTACAGGTAGCAGAATATAGTCTGGAGCATGTAGACTACAGGTAGCAGAATATAGTCTGGAGCATGTAGACTACAGGTAGCAGAATATAGTCTGGAGCATGTAGACTACAGGTAGCAGAATATAGTCTGGAGCATGTTGACTACAGGTAGCAGAATATAGTCTGGAGCATGTAGGCTACAGGTAGCAGAATATAGTCTGGAGCATGTAGACTACAGGTAGCAGAATATAGTCTGGAGCATGTAGACTACAGGTAGCAGAATATAGTCTGGAGCATGTAGACTACAGGTAGCAGAATATAGTCTGGATCATGTTGACTACAGGTAGCAGAATATAGTCTGGAGCATGTAGACTACAGGTAGCAGAATATAGTCTGGAGCATGTAGACTACAGGTAGCAGAATATAGTCTGGAGCATGTAGACTACAGGTAGCAGAATATAGTCTGGATCATGTAGGCTTCAGGTAGCAGAATATAGTCTGGAGCATGTAGACTACAGGTAGCAGAATATAGTCTGGAGCATGTAGACTACAGGTAGCAGAATATAGTCTGGAGCATGTAGGCTACAGATAGCAGAATATAGTCTGGAGCATGTAGGCTACATGTAGCAGAATATAGTCTGGAGCATGTAGACTACAGGTAGCAGAATATAGTCTGGAGCATGTAGACTACAGGTAGCAGAATATAGTCTGGCGTATGTAGACTACAGGTAGCAGAATATAGTCTGGAGCATGTAGGCTACAGGTAGCAGAATATAGTCTGGAGCATGTAGACTACAGGTAGCAGAATATAGCCTGGAGCATGTAGGCTACAGGTAGTAGAATATAGTCTGGAGCATGTAGACTACAGGTAGTAGAATATAGTCTGGAGCATGTAGACTACAGGTAGCAGAATATAGTCTGGAGCATGTAGGCTACAGGTAGCAGAATAGTGTCTGGAGCATGTAGGCTACAGGTAGCAGAATATAGTCTGGAGCATGTAGGCTACAGGTAGCAGAATACAGTCTGGAGCATGTAGGCTACAGGTAGCAGAATATAGTCTGGGGCATGTAGGCTACAAGTAGTAGAATATAGTCTGGGGCATGTAGGCTACAGGTAGTAGAATATAGTCTGGTGCATGTAGGCTACAGGTAGCAGAATATAGTCTGGGACATGTAGGCTACAGGTAGTAGAATATAGTCTGGGGCATGTAGGCTACAAGTAGTAGAATATAGTCTGGAGCATGTAGGCTACAGGTAGTAGAATATAATCTGGGGCATGTAGGCTACAAGTAGTAGAATATAGGTTGGGGCATGTAGGCTACAAGTAGTAGAATATAGTCTGGGGCATGTAGGCTACAAGTAGTAGAATATAGTCTGGGTCATGTAGGCTACAAGTAGTAGAATATAGACTGGGGCATGTAGGCTACAGGTAGTAGAATATAATCTGGGGCATGTAGGCTACAGGTAGTAGAATATAGGTTGGGGAATGTAGGCTACAAGTAGTAGAATATAGTCTGGAGCATGTAGGCTACAGGTAGTAGAATATAGTCTGGGTCATGTAGGCTACAAGTAGTAGAATATAGTCTGGAGCATGTAGGCTACAGGTAGTAGAATATAATCTGGGGCATGTAGGCTACAGGTAGTAGAATATAGGTTGGGGCATGTAGGCTACAAGTAGTAGAATATAGTCTGGGGCATGTAGGCTACAAGTAGTAGAATATAGTCTGGGTCATGTAGGCTACAAGTAGTAGAATATAGACTGGGGCATGTAGGCTACAGGTAGTAGAATATAATCTGGGGCATGTAGGCTACAGGTAGTAGAATATAGGTTGGGGCATGTAGGCTACAAGTAGTAGAATATAGACTGGGGCATGTAGGCTACAGGTAGTAGAATATAATCTGGGGCATGTAGGCTACAGGTAGTAGAATATAGTCTGGGGCATGTAGGCTACAAGTAGTAGAATATAGTCTGGGTCATGTAGGCTACAAGTAGTAGAATATAGACTGGGGCATGTAGGCTACAAGTAGTTAAATATAGTCTGGGTCATGTAGGGTACAAGTAGTAGAATATAGACTGGGGCATGTAGGCTACAAGTAGTAGAATATAGTCTGGGTTATGTAGGCTACAAGTAGTAGAATATAGACTGGGGCATGTAGGCTACAAGTAGTAGAATATAGTCTGGGTCATGTAGGCTACAAGTAGTAGAATATAGACTGGGTCATGTAGGCTACAAGTAGTAGAATATAGTCTGGGTCATGTAGGCTACAAGTAATAGAATATAGACTAGGGCATGTAGGCTACAAGTAGTAGAATATAGACTGGGGCATGTAGGCTACAAGTAGTAGAATATAGACTGGGGCATGTAGGCTGCAAGTAGTAAAATATAGTCTGGGTCATGTAGGCTACAAGTAGTAGAATATAGACTGGGGCATGTAGGCTACAAGTAGTAGAATATAGTCTGGGTCATGTAGGCTACAAGTAGTAGAATATAGACTGGGGCATGTAGTCTACAAGTAGTAGAATATAGTCTGGGTCATGTAGGCTACAAGTAGTAGAATATAGACTGGGGCATGTAGGCTACAAGTAGTAGAATATAGACTGGGGCATGTAGGCTACAAGTAGTAGAATATAGTCTGGGTCATGTAGGCTACAAGTAGTAGAATATAGACTGGGGCATGTAGGCTGCAAGTAGTAAAATATAGTATGATCCTGCTGTTCGCGCCGCTCCTGCGGGATGCAGTTTCACGGTTTTTTGCTTCTCGGCTCGCGTATAGGCAGGAGGTTCTCGCTGCTTCCTTTGAATCTGCTCCCCTTTCCCCCTCCCAGGGCGGGGGGTTGCGCAGATAGCAGTGTGGCGACATGATGTCATGTTCATTAGCTAATTTTCGTTTGGGGAGTTTTCTCCACTCATTCGGCTTTCGGTAGCAATATTTTCACCAGAATAGGGGTTTGTTTTGGGGCGCCTACCTTTCTGGGTGCCAGGTCCGTTCGATGG